CTCTCTCTCTCTCTCTCTCTCTCTCTCTCTCTCTCTCTCTCTCTCTCTCTGTATACTAAAACTTTTTCTGGATTAAGCCTCATTTCTTAAATTAAAATGAAAAATAAAATAAACGCCTATTTAATCTTATTTAACATTATTGAATTGTAAGTGATAAATAACTGATTCCTTAAAAATAATTAAATATTGCTTTAATCCTTATTTTTAAATCCAAGTTTTTAAATTTTAATTACTATTGCTACGCGACAATAATCTTACCTTAACTTTAATAGCCAAATTTGAATTTTACCATCTTAAATATACATATACACAATGCAATATTAATTAAAAATAAATATAACATTTACACTGTGTTATACATTGAATTTTAAACTTTACAATTAATAAAAACGGATTTCTTACCTTCTTTCTTGAGTAATCGACTAACCCGTGTATCTTATAAAACGAGTTACGGTTTTAATAAAACTTGGCGTAGTAAATCTCTCAATATATATCTCAGCATTTTTATGGTTTTACATAAATAATTTATTACAGCTACAATCTTCTGTTCCTTACTGTAACGTATCTGGTTCCAATGTCAGTGATGGCTGTCTGTTATACGTGTATGGGACGAAAGTTATGGGGCTCGAAATCGATTGGTGAACTTACGCATTACCAGCAAGAATCAATGAAATCTAAACGCAAGGTACGTTATTGAATATTTCCGTATTATTATGTCATTGCATTGTAAAATAATATTTTATAATGCAATGACTTAAGTAAACTTGTAAAATACATCAATAAAAACAATTGTAATGTACTAATTGAAATTAAAAAATTAATGTTTTTTCACATATTACTGTTTTGTATCTAATTTTTCGAACTTTCAAAGAAACAAAAATATATTTAAAAAATTCTAAAAAATAGCTGCAAATAACAAGAAATCTTCATGTAAATCTTTACAGAAAATAAGATAAATATAGAGTAGCAAATCTTTCTACTATATTTATCCGAAAATCTTAAAACGTACTTCTATAAAGTAGGTCGCATTATGATTATAAAACTGTTGGCAACTGTTGGTTACCAAAGTTCATTTGCATACAAATTAAGTGTTTTTACAGTTATCTGTTTAAATATTAAAAGCTATATACATATATTTACAATAAGCTATATTTATTTATGTGATTTACAAACTTTATTGCTTGTGGCAACGTCAAAGTAATGACTGTTTCTAAACATAATATAAACATTGAAGCATAAACTTCAAAACAGTAGATTCCTATTAAGTATCCTTAATATTATGAATGTTGGTTAATAGAGCGTGCTACAATGGACATGTTAAATATAAATTTTGAAATTACAACTAATTGTGACTAACGGTTTTTGTAATCATCGTTGCAATTGCAAAATGACTTTTTTATTAAAATTTTATTAAGATTTGAACCTCTTCTACTTTACATAGTTAAAAGAGTATAACAGATTTGAATTCTGTTTTAACATTTATCTTCTTTATGTTGCAGGTTGTAAAGATGTTCATTATCGTGGTGACAATATTTGCATTGTGCTGGTTACCATATCAGGGATTTTTTATTTTCGTGTATCATCATCGTCATTTTGCAGAAAGTAGTTATGTACAACATGTGTATTTAAGTTTCTACTGGCTCGCTATGTCTAATTCTATGGTAAATCCGATTATATATTACTGGATGAATAACAGGTATTGTATTATTTCTTATTATATATGTATAGATAGTAGAGAAAAAGAATAATCAATATATTATATATGGTATGCTTAACAAAATGCAATTCTTTTTTTTCTAAAAACAACGATGTTTAATACAAGTTTAGAATACGCATTAATTTTTTATATTTGTTTTATAAAATCTATTTTAGCTGATATATAATTTGTAAAATTTCAGTTTTATTATTTGTACGTATTGTATTTTATTTGTGTATATGTAGACATTGTTTCATTCTTAAATTAATATTTAATTATTAAAACGCTTTTTGTGTAATACGATTTATAAATTTATAAATAAAATTCTATTCTAAGTTCTAAATAAATTATATGATGATCTAAAATGGGATTAACATAGATTAAAAGATTTGTTAATTCAAGTATTCATTAATAAAATTAATGATAAATATCAAAATATTAAAGAAAATTTAATTATAAATCTTATCCAAATATCTAATTATATGCACATATCTTTATAATAATTTCATTCAAAAAATAGTAATTAATTAATTCAATTTAAAAAATAATGATCAACGTAAATAAAATTCGTTTAATCACGAAGGATAAAAAAATAAATATAAAGAAAATTCGTCAAGGGGATAAATACAATATTAGCTTACAATAAAATTAACAACATGAACGGGTAAAAAAAGTATACGTTTGACGAGATTTACAATGTATTCATCGAATCACAGTCTCTCACGTATTAAGATTTACGTAAATTCTTTGTAATATCTGATGGACATAATGTTATTAAAAGTATTATCAAACATAATCCTTTAAAAAATTCGTCTCTCGGGATTATATAAAGCAGTCTCTGACAATTTAAAAGGATTAAAGACAAATCTCGAGATTAATATTGTTGTAATCTACCTTGAAACTTTATCGATAACTTTTACGTAGAATTATATGATCTTATTGTTCTGATATAATTAATATTGTTTCGAAATAAATCTAAGTTATAAATTGTTTTCTTTAGAGCCAACACACACAAAGGAATATATTTAGTAATTTTTATAATAATTATTTTTCTTATATAATTTAAGTTTGTGTAAAAATTCTCTAATAAAATAATTATTATACTTCTTTATGTGTTGTGAATACCTACAATTTGTAATATATATATATATATATAAATATATATATATATATAAAATCATAAACTTATATAAAATTTTAATGATATGAATTATTCGGTGGTTTTTCGTAACTGGATTCCCTATAATCAATAAGGCGAGAGCATCGATCCCTTTTGGTTAACCACAGAGAGTTCCAGTTTACATTCTAATTATACATTTCTACATTCGCAAATCGATTCTCAACAGTTTAACTTCGCCGCTTTCCATCTTCTGAGTTCCTTTACTTTGAAAACTGATCGCGTCTGTCAGATGCGATATGATAAGCTATTAGATACTCCTCATTGCACTTCGAAAAAATCTTGTTATTACTGTCTGCTATCACTTACATCCTTATATAACCCTATTAGTGATCAGATAATCTTCTGTTTATGTCATTAATTATGATTAACGTGTATTATGGACATTATGGTAACATTAGCAACTATATTACAATATATGTAGATGTGAACTATATCTCAAGAGAAGTAAACTAAAATATTAGGATGTTAAATTTTTCATAATATATTTTATCTCTTCTCGAAGAACAATGTAAAATATAATTATAAACATTTTAATAACATACAAACAATAAGAGTTAAGAAACTAATAATTACAATAAAAGTAAATGATTTTCATGAAAAATTAATATATAATTATTTAAATAAAATAAATATTTAAAAATGTGAAAATTTTTATATAAATTTTTTATCGTTACACATAAATTTATTTTTTACATAAAATTCTGATTTTGCCTTACATAATCATAATATTTATTCTACAAATTTTCCCCAGATTTTCCATACAAATTTTGATAGTGTGTTCTATTATATGAGCTAAAATAAAAACATATTATACATATAAGCATAGGTCTATAAATGATTTTATAAAAAAACAAAAATGTGAAATATGTAAAAAAACAATTTTATCTAAGTTTGCATTTAAAATTACCATATTCGCTCATGTCAATACAAGTTCGACATCGATGTAATTTATCATCCTTTCTGCGAACATAGAGGAAATCTTCATAGGAAGGTTCCTCTACTCTTGCAAAATAAGGTAATAAATTCAAATTTGCATTGCGTCAAAGTTTGTCACAGAAGATTCGGAGACATCCGATATTCTGAATATATTTACAAACACATTTCAACAAAAACTTAAAAATTTTTTTTATTAAAAAGCGTATTTTGTAAATCTGAAAACGATATTTTCTTATAAAAGATTCAGTAAAAAAATATAAATTATTGTTGCATGAAATGATCTTGTTATTTACATATCTATATCTACTATTAATTTCTTTATCTTTAAAATAATATAAAATTATATTCTGTCCAGTCATGTACATTTATCTTAGCAATGGAAAAACCATTTCAGTGAACTGCGCACGTAAATATTTCTAAGATTTAGCTCGTCTCCCAAAGACAAATTAATTAAATTCAAGATCTGACATCTTATACGATGAAAGCGCAATAATATCAGGCGCGATATTTGCATTTTCTGCCATTGTCCATACTCAAGGACCATTGCGCAATTGCCGCAATGCACATCGGAGAATTATACAACTCAATTACCATTCTATTAAAATAATGTAACGCTATCGCATAATAATCACACAAATGGTCAACGTTGGCTGTGGCATAATAAAATGTTATTATTCAGTACCAATTCGTAATCAAATGTATATTTTCTGATATGTTTTACGTATTGCCTGATTGATTAGTAACACAATTTGCATATACATATCAAAATCCTCAAAAAGTTTGGAAACGGTTAAATTTCTCAAAAATAGTTTTTTTTGTTTTCGAGATATTCAATCGTTCCTAAATTTTTAAGGATCTTGTAATGATATTTACATATATATGCATTTATAATTGATATAAATGTACACATTCTATATAATATTTTTTTAATTTGTGAAAATAATTGAATAAATTAATAAAATACCTAATACTATGAGATTCATAGAACAAAGCACCTATGTATCATGGAACAAATTGGAATGGATTCCGATCGGATATTATTAAATATGTAAGTGTTCGCAAAAATCGCATTATCTTGAAGATAATGTGTTTAAATGCATTATTTGATTTGGCTAATTGAGTAAACAAAGTATCATTTACAAAGCATAATAATTATTTAATAATACTTGTCAAAATTTCGGGGCAACATAATATTATCTTCACAAGACAAAATTAAAATTTATTCTAAAAATTTAATTTATATAATAATAAAAAATTAATATAATTAATTATTTAATTAATGTAATTAATTAATATAATTAATTATTTAAGGCGATAATTCTTTCCTTGTTTGTTTGACAATTTACGGTCGGTACAAAAATTATTTAATATTATAATTAATTATTTACTATTTATTCACACAAAAACAGAGTTAATATTATTATTATTGTAGTTTGTAATAAACTTGTTTTTTATTTGTGTTTTCTTCTATTCCTAAAAATAGAAAAAATGATCAATAGATTTAATAGTATTTTATATGAATGAGTAGGACACTTGAAATATAACTTTTGAGATAAACATTTCTACTGGTCTGATAACTGCCTCGAACTGCAACGAAGTATTTGCACATTCATAAATTTTTATGAATGTGCAAATTTCAGAAATTGCGAAAGACTGTGATTTGCAATCGAAAATTTAATATGTTTAAATAAATCGATTTTTTAAATAAATAAAGATTTTATACCGCTCTCTAAATTAAATCTTGAGGTTTTATTTTGTCGATACTAAAATACATGCTTTTACTTAAAAACCAGTGATATCTTCAAGTAGTAATAATATCTGTTAATAATTATTCTTTAATGTATAAAATATATGTATACAGGCATGTTTCATATTTTTTTAGTTAATTTGAGTTAAAGCTACTTTTAACATTTCTAAAATTAAATTTAAAAACACCTCGTATTTCGAAAAAATTAGGGAAAAGACTAAGAACAGATTGCGAAAGAATAATTTATCATTTATATTACAATTATATAGCATATATATACTTATAGTTTAAAAATTGTTTATATATGTTTATTACCTACTAAAAAAAAGGACTTTGCTATATCTCTCTAAGAATATTATAAACAAGCTGTCACGACTCTAATCAGCAGTTCGAATAAGAAAACAGGTCGTTTACTGGGATTATATATGTGACTAATATATTTTACTTACTGTTTACGTCACGTTGGTAACTCACAATCAGACAAAAATAATTTAGCTATTTCTATAGCAAGAAAAAGTTGAAAAGATTTATTTTAAAAATTGTTTTAAGAATTTTAATTTTTTACCCTCTCTTAATTAATATCGATATAACATATCCATTCCATGTGACACTAATTTGTACTAGAAGTTTTTTTACTTTTACTTTATTTTATTACCTCCCTGGATTTTTTTACATATGTTTTACTTGAAAATTTTAATTGATTCCATTTTTAAACAAAAAAATATAAGAATATTATTGTTCGATTTCAGTTTAAAGTATTAATCTTGCATGCAATCCTTTTTTCTAATTTAATTTAAATTTTAGTTATATATGTATGTAAGAATGTGCGCAAAAATCGCATTATCTTATATTGAAAATAATCTGTTTAAATACATTATATGATTTGGTTAATTGAGTTAACGGAGTATTATTTACAAATGCAACTACGCGTGTTATCGAACATATGTATTAACTGTTACAGATTTCGAGTTTACTTTGAATTAGTAATCTGCAAGTGCTGTTGCATGATAGATCAGAGAAACGTGCAAACCCATGGAACACAAGAAATGGCGGGATGTCAGCGTTCAGAACTGATACCATGCAATTCAAGTAAGTACAATTTCTATTTAAAGTACATTCGAAAAGACGCTATATTAGCATTATTTGTTTTGTCCTTGTTTTACATCTAATGAAGGATCAAGGTAGAATTATATAAATATCGTTAATAATAATTTCCTGAACGCACTCTTGGTTACAAATGACAATTGACTGACGACGTATTATTATAGTTTCTTTTTATTATCTCATATGCTATAAGTTATAACTCTTTTATACATTATAGACATGAACGATCGAATTTGTTTCTTTCATAATTTGCATAAGATTTGTTTGAGATTAGATTTGGTAATTCAATTTACTTTGAACAAAATGCAAATCTTCTATATTTCTTATATAGTTTATTCACTGCACAAATATTAAATCATATTTTATTGACAATGATTTGTTGATATAATTTATTAAACTAGAAATCATAAACTAACAAATCGAAGAGTCTATATGTATATCACTGAATTATTTCACCGAAAATATGATACGACAGACAATATTGATTCGCTCAATATTTAATGGGAGTAGATATAACATTCATAGCAAAAGATTTTTAAATGACTTATTTTAATTTTTTTTTTAAATGTGGAATATTTTATATCAGAAAATTTTCGTTTAATTTCTGCGTATTACACATCTGTCTTTTGAAGCAGTGACGCCGACGCAAACTCATCAATGCTGATGGAACTTCGCGGATATATGAAATAGTCAAGATATGAATAGTGACATATTTCAATCGTGTTCAACCATGACACATTTTTAAAAAGATGTGACATTTAAACTTTAAAATCAAAAGGATATTTTCTTCTATTTGCTGTATATAATTCTAAAACTTACATAATATCAGATAATCTACAATAATAAATCATATTACTAATTATCTACGATAATAAATTTAATATTGTAAAATAAAATAATTAAAATTTAAGGAAAAAATATTTCAAACATAACATTTAAAAAATATATTTATATTAAATATTTACATTAAAAAAATTTTTTTTAGAATTACGTTAGTTTGTAATAATGAAATTATTTTTTAATTTAAAAAATTTTTAAAGGTTCTGTTAAAAAAAAATTTTTTTGTAGCTTAAAAATTGTGCACCGCAAGTAAAAATTTTTTGTCCTTAAATTCACAATATTGTATTATAATATTCAAAAAAAGTAATTAAATAAAAATAAAATTTGACGGCACTGTTATACGTACACTGATTTATTGTTTTATATTTCTGTAAGAGTATAAGCTATTATTCCTTAATCATATTTTAACATCTGCAATATTTTTTATATGATTTATTTTGATGAGACAAAGCGAAGATACATTTACTGTAATATATATTCATATAATTTATTTTTTTCTGTTCCCTTTTATGCTTGAAATATTTACATTACATAATAAGAGATAATCTTTATACATACTACGAGCAAGTATTTCACCTACTTTATTTAGCGTATGATGCGATAAATATTATATATGTTGAAGAATATTATCATAAAACCTCAGAGGTAACTTGAGTTTTAAGTCACCACATATATTTTACGTCATCTGTCCGTAAAATTTTAGCCTTTATATAAAGAACTATGTATTGAGAGAGAGAGAGAGAGGGAGAGAGAGGGAGAGGGAGAGAAAGAGAGGGAGAAAGAGGGAGAGAGAGAGAGAGAATCTCATTATTCTCAATATAAAGTTTTCACAATAATTATAAATATTATTTAATATTTACTGATTAATAATTAATAATTATGGGCACTTACTAATATGATTTATTTCTGTATGTAGGTTTTAATTCCTAATTTATGTCGCATACTACAATATAGTGTTTTTTCTTTATATTTTCTTTATATTTATGGTATGTATTATAAAGATCACAAAATTATTTTAAAAAGAAATAAATTGAAAATTTAATGTTTTAAAAAGTTTTTTAATTCAAAATGGGTTTGAAATAGAATGGTCAGGCGTGAACCAATTTGTACATCAATTTGTTGTTTCCTATTTCAATCATCGTAATTTACGGCTCAGGTTAGTCAAAGGGAATGCCATTGGAAAATATATAATCCTAGTATTGCAAATATATATTGTTGAAACATTACATGTAATGATTGTGAATAACATTACAAATTCATCTCTTTTAAGCGTGAAAAATAATTAATAAATTCGGACAATATGAAAACTTCAAATTCAAATTTATATAATCTTTTAATGCATCACTCAGCAAGAAATGGAATTTTTCATAATGCACATTCCAGGTCAGTTAAAAGTAAATAACAATTGCAAACATTTAAATTCGCGCACTTTGCTTTGTTTCCAGGTCGTTTTAAATCTACTTCGGTCAGATGGCGACAAAAAAGCGTAGCAGAAAGCCAGATACAGACTTTTAAAGTGAATACTCAAACAATGTGCGACGGACTGCACACTAAAGATGTTGCTATAATCTGAATTTTAACTTAAGCATGCATTACGAAAACAATGTTACAGATAATACTATATTATCATTTTCATGATTTAAACGAGCTTCGTTATGAACAATTATCAAACATTATAACGCAGTTCTGATATTGCATGTTAAATGACTAACAATAATGTGTTACTCAGCATAATATTCTATATATATTATATATCCTCTCCTTTTAAAAGATTATTTTACTACTTGTAAATGAGACTGACAGAAATGTAATAAAAAAACAACGAAAGACACAAATGAAGGGCTTAGCCAATTGTGTAACAAAGAAAACTTTTTAATTCAAAATAATAAAAATATTACAACAAACGTTTCAACGCCGATCGTATTATTATCAATATATATTACAATAAATTATAATTATAAAACTATTTGAAATCTATAAACTTTTCCTTATATCCAGTAATGCAGTTCTTATATCCTTTACTATTGTGATTACATAAATTAATAATAAAATATTAAGATATGAGGATTGCGTTACCGGGAAAATTTTATAGATTTTATAATTTACTGTAACATTGATAATGACCCGATCGACGTTGAAACGTTTGTTGTAATATTTTTATTATTTTGAATTAAAGTTCTCTTTGTTACACAACTAGCTTTTAGCCCTTCATTTGTCTTTCATTGTTTTATACTTATATAGAGCCTTCTATTACATATTATTTGTAATAAAAAAGTTCGATGTTATTTGTAATATTCAGATATAAAACTTGAAAATGTAGTTATGTAATAGATATACGTCTTGTATCTTGATGGTAATATTCTGTATTTTCTCCGAATTGTTACCATTATATTGTATTATGACAAAAGAAAATTCTGTACATATATTATGAAATAAACATGATTCGTTATACAATATATATAAATATATATATCAATGTTTTTTTAATAAGACTTACCTTTCTGATATATACTTCAAAAATAATTCATATATGTGATAAACTTAAAGTAAATTTTTTAATTGCTTATATACAAGCATTTCATTTAACAAATTTCTGGAGCAACATTACTTTGTCAAAATACTATTATTACGTGTCGTCTTTTCTTTATTTTTTGTTTGCTAAATTATTGTTTTGAATCGTGTCATTCTATATGCAAAACTATTAATCTCATTAGTGCGCATGAAAGCTCGTTATAAATTTCGAAGTTTTCATGATAAATTACGCTGTGCTAAAATGTTCAAAAATAAGATAACAATTTATTTGGATATTTTAAAATTTTAAGATAGCTTCCTATAATTTTCTCACTATATAATATATATTTATTAGCGTTTTGCGCTAATTGTGACTTTAAGATAAACAAAATCAAAAATTTTTATATGTATATATTGTATAAAATGTAATATAATACTGTACATTTATTTAAAATCATATTACTAATGCTAACTATAATTTTTTAAACCTGCCTATTGTTATAAAATTATCATAACAGTACACTTTAATATAAGTATATAAAATATTTAAACTATTTTTGTTTTTGCAAAATGTAATATATAAATAAAACTGACATACAACGGAATTGCACGTTATGAAAAAATTAACGAGAAGAACTGCTTTCATGATGCAAACGTACAAAGGCACTACATATTGCAGAAATGAATGCCATTAGTCATGTTCATTTACAACTGGTTATGACGCAAGAAATAACGCGTATTATATTAAACTTGATTTTCTTATCGATCTTCCTTATTATTTTAGATGTAGTGAATATTATAATATAATATCGTATTTTCTCTCTCACATAATGTTCGGAACAAATGATACAGAAACTGGTATGTATAAATCCATATAATATTTAAAAAAGTATACATATATATATGTACATATAATAGATATATATCCATCTCTTACTACATTATTATTTTTAGAGATTAATTAAAAATCTGTATTACAGTACTAATATCATTGTGTATTGTATTTGTTTGTGTATAAAATGCGTATAAAAAGAGATAATAAATTAAAAAATGTTAAAATAAACTGTTAAACGCAATGACCTTGAGAATATTTACTATTCATAAGGTTTTTCAAATATCTTCTTTATTTATTTATGATATTTAATTTAAACTATATCTCTTTGAAGCATTTGCATGATATTGTTACATGATTAACTTATTTCTTAATCTGTTTCTTTATTAATTGTAAACCAGTGCATTACTTACTTATGCAAATGTCATTGTCAATAACTATTTCAAAGTTATGTGATTATTTTTATGTTCAGCTATATTAATGAAATCATTAATAATAAAAACAGATTTATCTATTCATTATTTTGATATAAAATTAACAATTTATTCATATGTGTTTCTTTTCTAATATGTAAAAATATTAAATATATGTATATATGGATAAAAAATGACAGACTGTATAAAACGAAGACTAGAAATGCAACAATCATTTCTCAATGTACTATAATCTAGATTTGAATGTAGTAGATGTGTATTTGCCTTCCAAATTTGGTCTTCTCGTAAATTGAAAGAGATATGTACAAGAAGCAGTTCATGACGTGAAGCAGATTTAGATAGTATTTAAATAGCAGAAAGTGATGATTCACTATTTAAATATTAAAACCAGGTATTAACATTGCATAATAATCGGACAGATAGTATTAAACACTATTATGACTAACTGTTTAAAGATAGATCAGTTTTAAGCTCTTTCATATTTAGAAATACAAGTACGCAAATGCGAACTGAGAAATCAATGATTTACATTTACGTAATTATTCCGAAATTTAATGTTTCTGCTTAAACTTAAAATTGAGAAAATCATATTACGTCATATAAATTATCCCTTTTTTATTTTACGTATTTTTAATGCATTATTGACAAAATTTAAACTACATATTAAAGAGTGCAGCTTTAGATTTTATCATTTTATCTTTTCGCACTTTTGTATAGTATTATATTTTATATCTACGGATTGATACACAATACATCATCTTTTTTTGTGTTGTATCTCTATAAGATAGATAATCATATTGGCAGGATCTCTACAAGAGTAGCGATTTTCTGAAAGCTGTAAGTCGATCGCTTTCAAATTTCTTATACGTAACAAAGACTTTTATATCATATGGCTGCTTCTTTTATTACACGGTGTAAAATATATCGCAACCCAAAGACTGTACGGCAAGTAGGATTTTTTACTGCATAAAAACCCAACACATTGCGTATAAACTTTTTGTAACACTACACTGGCTTGTAAACTTTGTTACAGAAATTTTTCATTCATATTTCTTTATTTTGATTGTAAATTAGAAAAAAATTATGGTTATTATTTTAATAGATATGACTATATACCTACTCTAATAATTTAGTCAACGTAAAAAAATAGTCTTTATTACATGTATAACTAATTAATAAGATAATTATTTTTACAAAAATTTGTATTTATATTTCATATAATCAAGTTATCAAAAAACAGATTCTGTGATCAGAACTTGGAATAATATTTTCTTAACTATAAGATATAGAAAAGCACTCAAAATTTGTTTTTAAAAGCTTTGTGGACAGATTTAAAAATTGTAGCAATGGTTTAAAAATATAATGTCAAAATATTACATCTTTTTTTTATAATTATGTCTTATTTAGACAATAACAAATACCGAGTTATAGAAACAGTGAAAGTTTTATAGAACGAACTTTTAATCTCTATACCATAAATTTATTTAACGAAATATAACAAAATTTTTTATAGCACATAGCGAACGACGCTAGTGTCGATATTTCCCATTTCCTTTCAATCGTCAGAACCATGACAGAATTATCGTACGATCATCGTGAGTAAGCATCGCATGAAGAATGGTGTGTCACTGATAGAAAATTATGGCATTCACATGATGGCAGTCACGGAATTATAACGATTACACTCTGAGAATATATATATAGACTGGGTATATAGAAGGATATAGAAGGAATTAATTTCTCAGTGACACATCTCTGTTTTTCACATAATGAAAATGTCACCCATACGCCGGATTCAAATCAAAATTGTATTAAATGTAAATTACACTACATTATATTTACAAAGAATTTTTAACATAAATGAACAGTTTTCATATTCGATATCCTTAAAATAGGCAATTTCAGATAGGAAAATAGGAGCAGTTACGCCGTTATGTGAAGTCAAGTGTGACGATAAACACGACGGAAGTAAATGACTTAAAGTATACTGTGTCTTACAAATGTTCTAATTTATTTCGTCATACTTTTTTTATTATAGACAAGATTTATCATCTGCATGTAGTCGACGATATACATTATAATACATACATACTATATAATATAATAGTTGTAGAAAAACTAAGATTACATTATGTACAAGATTAAAATATGCATGAATGTGCAAGATAGAATTTGGTAAAGCACGAAAACGAGACAAAGTTAAAATGTGCTTACGTATAGTGTGCTTATATAGTGTAAAATTTGATAAAACACGAAAACACTGCATTATACGCTAGAAATATTATTTTTGAAAAAATTGTTAACCGCAGGAAACATTTGTAACAACGTTTTGACGACAGAAAATTGTTAATTTAAATAAAGTGTACAAAATAAAATGACATGTCAAATACTCAAACATGACGTATTTCCGTAAAACTCCTATTTAGTTTCGATAGCTTATGCGAAACACACGGAACGTTTTGAACGATTTACTTTCATCACGTTTGTCGTTTGCACTTGACGTTCCACAATAAGAGCGAATACTATATGTATAGTCTCTATTGTCTTCTAGTCTCCCGTGTAGGGTTGCTGGGATACACACATTTGTGAGATGTAGAGATCTGCAGAGAAAGAAAAATGATAATAGCAGTTCACTTGAATAATTCTTTAGTATTAATGCAAGACACTTCATTGTTTGATAGGAAATATTCATATATGAAGATTCTACTTTTCTTTATTATATTAATAAACAAATTATTTAATAAATCGTTATATTTTATGACATTAATTAATCAGGCGTACAACTTTTATTTCTTC